GCCCTATAAATATACTATTACCGTACAAGTTTTTATTTCTGCAGTGAATTCTTCTCTGTTGAAATATTTATATTGTCTTTGGATAAATGAATAATTTTTTGTACTTCTTTTTAACTTTGTGTCTGTTACTGCACAAATGCCAAGAGGTGGTGGCTCCATGGGAGAAACTCTTTTTTTTTCAGTTTCTTACTGTTCTACCAAATCTACAGTGTGACAGCTGAAGGATATTTTACTAACAAGAGGATTCTGTGGTAGTGCAGTAAAAAACAACATTTAGATTATTTGAAATAGTCCTTTTTTATCATTTTATCTTTTAGAGATATTCTGAGCAGTATAACTTGTGATCTAGAAGCTTTTCATGTGTTTTGTTCAGCTTTAGTGTCTTCCATGCTCTATATTTCTCCTTTATGAAAGATTTTTGGACTTCTTATGACCTATTAAGGTTTTTTGGGGCTATTTTTTCTAGGAATATATTTATTTTTCTGGAAATATTGATGTGGGTTTTTTTTTCCAGGAATATTTGGTTTGGTTTTTTTTGTAGACTTGGAGAGCTTATCTTGATCTAGTTAAAATTTATGGAAGGTTTCCAAATACTTTCAGAGCTCATACTTAAGCTTGCTTTGCTTCATCTGTAAAGAGTTTTCATTTTAAAGAAGTGCCAAATGTCCACGTGTGGGGTTTCTTCTGTGGGTTTTTTGAGTGGGTTTTTGTTTATACATATATATATATATAACACACACACACACACACATATATATATAAAACATATATACACACGTATATATCTATATGTATAAAATACTAGATGTGAGTGTGTCCTGGGCAATTTTTGAAGTTAAAAGCAATAGTAGCTACAACAGTATTTGGACATGAAACTGGTTCATGTGGATGGAACCAGTGTGGTGAAAATTTTTATGATGAATGGGTCTTAAATCCCTATGCACTGTAACACATGGGATATTGGAAATTGAGATGAAAATAATATCATAGCTGTATATATACTATAGTTGTAGCCACATAACATGGATAAAATCTAATTTGGCTTTATGAAAAGCTATAAAAGCTGTACAGAAAAGCAGCAAGTTTTTCTATGAATTGGAAATGCAGCTGTAGTGGGGAGTAGTGTCCAGCTCTGATTTGTGTTAAAATCAGTGTTTTTAGCATTGTTGTGTGAGAAGAACATCAAGTTCTGGAGCCCTCGGTACAGGAAAGACATGAAGCTGTTGGAGAGCATTCAGATAATGGCCATGAAGGTGATCAAAGGGCTGGAGCAGCTCTGCTCTGGAGACAGGCTGGGACAGTTGGGGTGTTCAGCCTGGAGAAGAGAAGGCTCCAGGGAGACCTTAGAGCACCTTCCAGTGCCTGAAGCTGGGGAGGGGCTTTTCATCAGAGAGGGCAGGGATAGGACAAGGGGTAATGATTTTAAACTGAAAGAGGGGAGATCTAGATTACACATCAGGAAGAAATTCTTCCCCATGAGGGTAGGAAGGCACTGGAACAGGTTGCCCAGGGAGGTTGTGGAAGCCCCTTCCCTGGAGGTGTTCAAGGTGAGGTTGGATGAGGCTTGTGCAGCCTGGTCTGGTGGGAGGTGTCCCTGCTCATAGCAGGGGGGTTGGAACCTGGTGATCTTGAAGGTCCCTTCCAGCTTTAACCATTCTATGAGAAGATGGGTAAGGGATTTTTTGGGTTCAACTTCGGGGTTTTGTCATCATAAAATGGTTTGCAGCAGTTGTGAAGGTTGCCTTTTGTTCTTTCACTCATTTTTATCTGAGAGGAGGTGTCAGGTCATCTGCTAATGTTTTTTTCTTTGGCATAGAGAGGATTGATCAGCTGGGCCTGGAGGGACAGGATGATTTTTATCTCTCCCATTACTGGTGTGCTCTTCAACTGTTGCTTTTATACACCCTGACAATTTCTGCCCTTCTGAATAATCAGAAATGGGGCAAGTGGACTCAGTTGTGATGATCCTGCATGAGTTTGATTACACTTCACTGGCTTTGCAAAGTCAGGTTGGCTGCTTGGTTTCAGGTAATGGATAAAATCATGGGAAACACAGTTGAAGTTAACAGATTGAACAAGCTTGAACTTAAGAGAGTTCTCATGAGCATCATGGAACATGAATTTGATCTTTACTTTGTCACTGGTCTCTCCAGCTTCTCTTTGCACCAAAGGAATGTTCTTGAGTTTGCAGATGTTTCAAGAATCACAAGGTGGTTATATGTAAAATATTTGTGTATGAGTTAACTGTGGTAATACACTGACTTACTGTATTTAGCTATTTGGAAGGGATGGTTTGGGGAGGCACAACCTGCAACCAATTGTCAACTGTTTCTGTAACCACAGCAAGAAGCACATTTGGGAGGTGTTATAAGGATTATTTAGATAAAGCAAAGCAATGATCAATACAAAGCACAGTAGTTGGGCTGTGGAATATTTAGTGTAATCAGCTTTGGAAAAACCTGTAATTAGTTTCCTGCAGTGAATAAAGGTTGATTTAAATGATGGTGGACAGGGCTGTAGCAGTTGCTCCACAGCACTACAGTGAAGATGAGGTGGTTGGCAGAGCAAGGTTTGCTTCATCCAAATAGAATTAAAATCTGTGTGCTTTGTTGGGTGAGCAGGGATATTTTTGGAGAAGTTGCATTAAAAACCCAAACAAACAAACACCAAAAAACAAACACCAAAACTTCAAAGCAGTTTTCTGCATTGTTCTAAATGACAGATACACCTGATATGCATCCATTTCCCTCCTTTTTTTCCCATTCACCATTATATAATAAATTCAATGTGACTGTTTGATTTTATTTTTTTACATGCTTCAGGATTTGGAGAATAAGGTAAGTAGTTAAGTGAGAAACAACAAAAACATCCAACGTTTTTATTTTAGACTTTGGCTCTTTGCCAAAAAAATGAAGTTAAAAAAATAAATAAAAGCAATCATAAATGAAGCACAATATGTGGTGTAAGTTTTCTGACGTGACTATGAGTGTGACCTGGAGACAGGAGTTTACCAGATAACAGGAGTTTAGCAGTTAACATTATGATGCTAAAATAGAAACTTTTTAGATTTGGCTTTGTAGCATCAGTACTTGGAGGAAAATCACAGAGTCATAGCATGGTTTGGGTTGGAAGGGACCTTAAAGATCATCTAGTTCCAAGCCCCCTGCATGGGCAGGGACACCTCCCACCAGACCAGCTTTCTCCAAGCCCCATCCAACCTGCCCTTGAACACCTCCAGGGAGGGGGCAGCCACAACCTCCCTGGCCAACCTGTTCCAGCATCTCACCACCCTCACAGGAATCAACTTTTTCCTAATGTCCAACCTGAATCTCTTCTCTTCAAGCTTTGACCCATTGTCCCTTGTCTTCTCACTACACGCCTGTGTAAAAAGCCCTACCCCAGCTTTCTTGTAGGCCCCCATTAGATACTGGAAAGTTCCTATAATAAAATAACCTGTTAGAGGTGAATGACTAATGTTAAATAGACAATTGTGGGCCCAACCACTGCTAGTTAATGATTAATCACTAAAAATATGTTATCATTAAAGCATGATGAGCCTGGAATTAATCTATACTGATAATGTAGGCGTTAAATCCTCCATAGCTTGTTAAAAATCACTTGTCTAGTATTTCCTTTGGAGGACTTGTAGCTTAGTATGTATCCTGTGTGCATGTGTACTTTTAAAATGTATTTTATGATTCTTAATTAGTCTCCTTAATGCTGCATATTGGTACATACTGCACATAAGAAGCCAAAAAAATGTCAACTTGCTCAGCAGAGCTGGAAGTTGTGCCTCTGAAATGAATCCTCAAGTCATACTAGTATTCAAAAGAGAGATGATCAAAATTATGATGTTAAGTTACTGGGCATGGGAGTGATCCTGTAGTAAAGATTTCAGTTTACTTAGTTGGATACTTCAGCTGATCTAGGAGTTTCCAGGGGAGTAACTACTAATTAAAAAGGACAGCAGTTTTAGATGTACTTTTTAGTTCTACTTTTGAAAATACATGAGCATTTGGTTCTTTCCTAGCATGCATGTGTTTAGAATTAAGCATGTGCTTAAATAGATTCCTGAACTGGGATTTTTAAAGAAAAAACAGCTTCTTCAAAAGAATTCTTTTTAATACTGCCTACAAATATGTGAGTCTAAGTTCAGCTTTTGCAAGTTCATGTGCCCTGTGAAGATAGACTGAGAATGTTGGGGCTGTTCAGCTTGGAGAAGAGAAAGCTTCAGGCGACATCAGGGTGGCCTTCCAGTTTAGGAAGGGGGCCTTTAAGAAGGCTGGGGAAGAACTGTTCACAAGGCCATGTAAAAGAGGACAAGGAGTAACGGGTTAAAACTGGAAGAGGGGAAATTTAGGTTAGACATTTGGAGGAAATTCTTCACTGAGGGTGGTGAGACCCTGGCCTGGGTTGCCCAGAGAAGCTGTGGCTGCCCCATCCCTGGCAGTGTTGAAGGGCAGGTTGGATGGGGCTTGGAGCAGCCTGGAATGGTGGGAGGTGTCCCTGCCCATGCAGGGGGGTTGGAACTGGATGATCTTGAAGGTCCCTTCCAACCCAAACCTGTCTGTGACTCTATGTCAAAATGTCCACTCTGTTAACAATACAATGTTATTAAATTGAATATTCAGGCTCTATGTGTGTTTTGTTGGGAAGCTTGAGCAAGTTTCCTGTAGTTCAGCAGTGATGTGTAAAGCTGATTTTTTTTAAAAATAGGTTCCTGTCAGCATGGTGTGCTTGGTTCCATCTTCATGATGTTTCCAAATGCATTTGGACAATCTATGGCACAGCTGTTGAGGAGGGAAGGAAACAAACCCAGTACAATAGACAATCTCTGTACATTTTCAGGGCAGCAATCATCATCTTATTAATGTCCTCTTTGGCAAAAACTAATGGACTACAGCTCCCAATGTATGTTCCTTACTGGTACAATTTATAATAGAGGTTTTGCTTTGTAAGTGATGCTCTTTTTTGATCTGGTTTTATCTTTCCTTTTTTAGGCCAAGCAGCTGGAAGACAAAGACAGAGAACTGAAGAAGCATGATGCCTACTACAAAGAACAGCTGGCTCGACTGGAGGAAAGAGTGAGTCTGCTTTCCCTTTTAATGAAGAGTTTTCTGTTCATTTCTGCTACTGACTATCTGGTTGAGTTTTACTGTTACACAGGATGACTTTTCTAAAGAGAGAAAGATTAAAACTGTGGCCAGAGGGTTGTTTTTTTTTATTTACTGCTACTGTTTCTGACTTAATATTGACAAGATGGAGACTTTAATATTGAGAATACTGGGGCTTTTACTAACTAAATTCTCACATTTGCAATGAGATTTTCTGTCTGTAATTACATACAGAGAAATAATCCTAATGAGGTTACTTTGTACCAGCACTGATGAAAAGCCAGGGTAAGTGAATGACTATCACCAAGTAATCTTAAAATTGCTCATGAACTGTGAGGAGATAAACTGAATTTTTGCTTTCATTGCAGTCCACAGGTCCTTTTGTTGAGTGTGGTAGTTTCTCTAAAAGCAACCAGCATGTGGAGAGTTTAATGTTAATTGCAAGTTGTTTATGCCATGTTTAAAAAGCACTTCTGTGTCTTTTTGCACAGTAGACTTGAAACTAAACTGTACAGAACAGTTTGAGCTGTGGGAAGTGGGTACAATGTTTTAACATATTGCTGTTAACATTCCTTTTTTGTTTTTTGTAGGGTATTATTTTATAGGATGTTAATTTCAAATAATTATTGCCATCATCATTTTCCAAATCCCAGCTTGGTTGTAACCCTCAGCCTGGGTACATTTGCCTCCTTTGCACCTTTGCCTTCTTCCTGAGCCTACTTATTTTTGACTCGTTGGGATTTTTTCTGCTCAGTTTTGAAAATGGTATTAACAAAAGGCATATTCATTTATGCAGTTTAGCAGAATAGAAGAAAACCCCTTGTTCTTATGGATTAGCAAGATGAGCATGTTGTATGAATTATCAGTGTGTATAATTGGTCTTAATGAATATTTTAAATAGAGGGCATATCAGATATTGTCTCGATGTTTTGTCCTACCTTTTTGAAGATGACATTAATGAAGTTATGTTCTTGGCAATAAGACACAGTTTGAAAGGATAAGGGAAAATTAGTTTAATGATTCTAAAACTGCATTATTAAAGCAGTTAAAAATTAAAATCCTTCACACAAAAGAACCAAGCCACAGAATACCTTTCTGTTTATGAAATAACTGGCTGGAGTTACAGGAAAACGTGTCCATGGGATCTCATTCACTTCTTATGGGGTGGTTGCTCCTCTGCTCTTACTTACCCGCTTTCTATTTTATGGTTATGGTGCAAGTAGTATTGGAATAATTCATGGTAAAGGATGTGTGATAAAGTTTTTCCTTTACCTTTTTAAGGTGCTATGCAGTAAGAGTCTATTCTTTTGGTGTGAAATTAAGTTGCTGATACAGTGCCTTCACTTGCTGCTGTTAAGTGAAGACTTCCAACATGGAATCTCATTTTAACAGGCATGTGAATACATCCTTCTTGGGTACAACTGAGATAGTGAACTATAAATAACTGTATTTGAGGACTACAGGACTGTGTCCCCCAGGTGATAGGAAATAGGTGATCTTTGCCATCTCTTGCTTTGTTTTCTTGGACCTGGAGGTCTTTAGGTCTTCAGCAGGCAGTTCTGAATGAACTGTCTTATGCCATGGATGTTGTTTGCTCTGTCTTCAGAATGGAGCTGTCATGATACTAAGGCTAGACTATACTGGCTTTTTATTTGTAAGCTAAAAAACCTTTGCTTTGCCAAGTTGTCATCTAGTTTGTTTTCAAAGTACATGTGGGTACCTCTTCTGCACAAAAGGAGTTGTTGGAGCTCTGGAAGGAGGTGAACTCTGTGCTCTGCATCAGGCTTTGAACTTTTTCAGAGATGTGGAGATTACAGAATTAAAACCTGCAAAAGCAGAGAGGTCATGTCTCCTGCAATCCCAGCTTCACTGAGCCTGGTGCCTGCTGCTGTTGTTAAGGTCATTTGTGAGTTTCCGTATCAGTGATTTTTGAGCATTGGGATGGAAATAGAGCTTTAAGAAGCAAAAGGAAGGTCTGAAAAGGCCTAACGTTTTGGAAATTACAGAGCACAATAATAGGCTGCTTGTTTATTCCCAGACTTGCCCTGATTTCAATGAAAGGTACCCAAAGTCAGAGTGTGGGCTGTTGAACAGAGAAGAGACCAGAACGGGAGGTAAAGTGGGAGCAGAGCAAGTGCAGCTGAGAGAAGTTGGTACCAAGAAATGTGCAGTGCAATTCTGTCACCTGTGACAAAGAATGTTAATTACATTCTCAGATCATTCTTACATCAAATAAGGACACTTAAAAATACTTCATTTATGCGTCTCTGGTATTTCTGTCTGTTGCATCATTGAGTGTCAGGACTCATCTGTATGATTAATTGGCTTTTTGATTACTTAGCTTTTTCAATTAGATGCTTCGTATTTGTGTTCTTCAATGCCTCTGAAAAAACAATGCAGACAGTGATAATAAAGGGAGATGACAACAGAACAGATTAGTGTCAGCACAATGTGCTCCTTATGGAGAAAATTATTATACATATTCAGTGCCAGATGAAGTCTGTCAATTATAAAATATTTCAGTGTCTCCGTGAAGATGCTCAACCTTTTCAGGGGATTAATACAGGACAAAATAACTGCACCAGTGACAGCTGTGATGCTAAAACATAAACAATTCTATTCTCCAGGGCTATATCTGTTCATAAATTTGGTTTATGTGCTAAAAACCTTTTGGTACTTTCCAAAAACCCAGCGATTCCCCTAACAGCTGCTGGTGTTTCTAGGTCAAAGATAGCACATAAGCTATGAGTTATTACCTGCTTCACAGCAGCAAAGCAAAACGAGATTGTTTAAGAAAGGACTCAAGGAATAACCTTCTCATACTGTATGTCTGGCTAGGATGTGAAGCTGTTATTTAAGAGTTGGCACGTTAAGCTTTGAGAAAAGTTGTCAGTGTTTTTCGTTGTCTGCTGACAGGCTAATGGTGCTTCTTGACTACAGCAAAAAAAACCCAGATGTAGTAGGATCCAAATCATATGTGTATTACACATTGCCTTAATTATTTACTAGAATAAGGTGGCATTAGTGGTATTTTAAACCATTTGATTTTTCTTTTTAAAATAGCAGAGCAAGGAAAACTAACGTGTCAGGCAGCCTGAGCAGCTTCCTACTTGGAAGAACAATCCTCCTTCTCTAGGGTTGTCTCAAACATGTACCCACACCCTCACACCATTCTGTCCTCCTGTATTCATCATTATTCTGTTCAGCTCTTCCACATCCATCATCCTCCCATTTTGCCACTGGTTTCAACATCAATTTCAGGCCTTGGTGGCTATAGGCTTCAGAACCATCTTTTCATCTCTAATGTCACCCTGATACGTAGGTTCCAGGCAACATCTACAGTTGCATTAATTTTGCCTACAGAGCAGCTGATGCCTTGTTGTTCCTGACACCAGTTACTTTTATTTGGGAACACTTTTGCTGCATAGGAAACGTGACTGGATCCTCTCCAGCTTCTGCCTGTGGTTTTGGCACCATGCAGACATTCAGAGTGAGGTGTCTCCACGTGCTTCTGTGGCTTTGAGATTGATGCAGCTCTTCCTAGTTCAAATTTTCTTCAGCAAATCCAACTGTTTTCATGTTCTGTTTCATAAGATTATACATCATTATGAGAATCATGCCCCTAGTCATAGAAGCAGGAATAAATTAATTTTAATACACTGCTTTATGACAAAACTCCATAGTTTTTCTGTGTGAATGTGCAAGATGTATATCCCAATATTAATTAGGATATTTCTCATTCGAGCTTAGTTTTTATGCTTCTGAGTTTTCTGGAGATACTTTCAGTAAATATTGAGTAGTATGCATGTGAATATGAATACAGAATCAGGTAATAAAATGCTTCTGTCAGCTTTTGGAGGTTTCAGCATATGCTACAGGTTTAGCAGTCAACAAGTTACTGCCCTGATACTTCTCCCTTGCAAGTTCTATAATTTCTGTGCGTGTCCTTACTAACTTCAGAGGCCTTTGTGCAGTGGGATTCGTGCACCATACAGGGCTTGCTGCTGGATCAGAGCCTGAGAATATAGACGTGAGTTCTGGAAATGTGATCCTCTTATCTGCATCCATTTTTTTTTTCCATGACTTAAATTTTAAGGAAGGATTTGCAAATCGTAGTTTCGGCACTTAATTTGAGGATTCTACTTACCATGTAGGCTGTCAAGGAGCATTAACCTCAAGGTAAGATGAGCAAAGAGAGCACAAAGCTGATGGCACATACTATACCAGGTGTTAAATAGTATTATCCATCCTGCTTGCTACAGTAAATAGGATTTTGCTATTATGATGTGTCAGGGTTTTCAGAGAAATCAAATTTGCCACACATTAAACTGC